CTGTCGAGAAGCTCAAATGCCACTGGGGCACCTAAGTATTTTCCTGCCCTATGTGTCTGTTTTTAATTTGAATCTGCCTGTGACTACTGCCCACCTGGTTGAGTTAAATGTGACCAGCAGACTCTCAGGTAAAGTCTCAGACACCTCTGCTGTGCAAAGAAGGATGCTTGTCAGCCGTTCCCTGCCGCTGTACGAGTCCTGGAGGAATGCCCACGCAGCAAGAACCATTCACAGTAACCCTTCAGCAACCTCTGGGAACTCATTCTCCTTTCTCAACACATGCTGGGTAGCAAAAAGCCTACAGACTTTCCAGAAATGTCTGTGAACAGGAAAGCTCATCATTTTGAAAACTGCGTTTTTGACACCGTCTTTTGAAGACCTAGTTCTCATAAAGCAGAAATGTAAGGGTGACCAGGACTGCCTCCAGGACACCAGGCTCTGACTACCACCTCTGGGAACAGACCCAGCAGGCTGCACTAGTGCAAAAGAGCACACTAGCTACTACAAAATAGCATATATGTTTTCAATTCAGAAGCAAACAATCAATTGATCACACCAAGAAGTCACATCTACTCATTCCAGGGGGACCTTCAAGGTGCTGGTCTGGATTTCTTAAGGTGCTTGATAGTAAAGGACCCACCTGGGTAAACAGTGCTCTCTTTCTCCCTGTGTGTGACTGAAGAAATAGATGGGCAGAGTTATGTTTTCACTTAATTTTGGATTTAAGTTTTTACAGCAGCATCAGAAGGTGGTGATCTGTAGGCCCATGCTCTAGAGCTGCGCTCCTACCACAGCCTGACACAGGGTCACTTGAGGAGCAGCTGGGAACTGCATATATAGCAGCTAGGTCTTATACATTAAGTACTTGAGGTTCTAATTTCTTAATGTTTACTTTATACATGTACTCAATGACTAAGGAAAAAAGAGGCTTATGCATGTCCATTTGTTAGCCTGATTTTCAAAGTCTTTATCACCAACATGCTCCCTGTTGTGTTCTAAGAAATCTCTGAATGCCAAGCACTTCCAAAAGAGAAGGTGAAAAGAGTGCACGTTTCTACATAAAGAGTTGAACATGCAGCAAATCTTTAAATAATGACATTAAAACCAGGGACAAATCTAAAGAGGTTCTGAGAATGTCTGAGAAATTATGACTGCTAGTGTGAATGCTCTACAAAAAATTCCTGTTAGGAAAAAAAAAAAAAAAAGGGGGGGTGGTCCGAGTACAGTTCACTGTGATAAGACAGCTACACAACTGACATCACAGCATGGCGCTGCCAGTTAAACAAAAAGCAACTAATTCTGCAACACAAAACTGTGCAGGTGCATAAAGAGTAAAGTATAACGAGAACCAGAGTACAAGTTTGCATGGTGCCCAATATGCACAAAAGGCATATTGGAATGATAAAGGAATGATTTCAGTGTTTACTGTAACTGTGCAGCACGAGGGGGAGCACAGCTACCCATAGCAGCTCAGGTAGGGCTGCAGAGGGGGAAAAGTATGCTAGAATCATAACAGGGGTTTCCATATGACTTTCACTGCTGTTATGATATTTTAACATTCAAAAAACATACTAAGCTATCTCTAAAGATCCCAGTGTCAAATAATGAAATAACATTCCTATAAGGGAATAACTGAAGTCTTTCAAAACATGTTTAACACACAGAAGTGATGAACAAATGTGAGTTACAGACATGAGAGAATCTGGAGCAGAATGGAAATCTGAAAATTATCCTTTTTTGGATGTTGCTCTATTAAAGCAACTGGAATCTTGCAAGTGACGGGAGAACAGTGCACTTGGTTCACGTGGTAAAGGACTTGCCACTTTCAGCTCATTAACTCCAACAGGAATCAGCCTTCAGCACTGGATCCAGAATGTTCAGAAATAAGCTGAAAGAATACCTTAGAGAAAGACTTCCAACAAGGACTCTCTATTGAGTAAACTGTGCCAGAAGATGGCTTTCAAGACACAGGCAGGCTGGTATAGATGATGAATAAAATGTTCTCATTCTGTACGGTAGCTGAGGTTACAGCTGGTAAGCACCTCACTCTGGCAGCGAAGTCAGGACACCCAACAGATTCAAAGCCATAGGAATTCACCAAGCCCTTGAGCTCAGACAAAGGCCAAAAGGCTCTGGGTGAAGCAGAGATTGCCAGGGACCAGAAGCTTGACAGCATGAGACAAGTATGTGACAGCATCGCTAACACAAAGAGGGAGCTCCACAGGAGCAGTGGGACTCCTGGAACACAGGCAGCTTCAACAGAGACCCGGGCAAGCAGAGCTACCAGATGAGAACCACAGGCAAATTCCCACTCATTGTACCTCTTCAGGTGAAAGCAAACAGCACTAATGGAAAGCTCACTTTCTGCTCCGTGACCAGATCTATATGAAGCTTTAAGACTGTCTCATGACTCAGCAAAAGACTGATACCTGTAGTGACTAAAATAGTAAAAACTTGCATCAAGTGCATAAGCCCACCTGCCAGATAAAATGAGATGGCCCTTATGCTCAGTACTCACAGAGGCAAGAGACTTACTTTGCTATTCCTGTCAATCAGTTACACTACAACATCATCATGGCTTTTCACATGCTAGCTATTCTAACGTAACACAAAGCTTGATCTTGCTCTGGAGAAGATGATGTTTAGGACAAGCTGTTGCTTGAGGAAAGACTGGGTTCAGCTGCAGTTTTGCAACTCAGTGGAAGATGAATAGAGCAATGCTGGAACTCCCGAAGTTACCTTGTTAAGAACATGAGGGGAGGCGTCCATGCTTCCCTTCAAACATGTCACTATCCTCTTTGAAGATGCTGTCCATTCGGCAGCACAGGGACTCCAGCACTCCTTGACCTGTGAGGCAGCACACTATCCAGGATCCATCAGCCAGAGCAGTGAATGAGGCAGGTAACACTGATCCCGCTGTCTACAGTGTCATAGCACATGGGAATATAATCTTTTGCAGGAAGAAAGCTGGAAACTGTCTACAGCAACAGCAAAACTTCCCTAACACTTCCACCGATTACAGGTGAAAGTCTTGTTGTAGAGGAGCATCTCATCCATTGCAGCACAGCACCCTGCGAGAGTTTGCTGGGCCTGGTAAAGATTAACAGCCAGGTGCAAGTGCTCTCCTCTGATTATCAGAGTGAAAGAGAGATACAGACTCCATCAAGCAAATTATCATTCTCTACAGATCACACAAATCGACCAAAACCTAGAAATAGGAAAACTGTCTGGAAAGAAAACAAAAGGGGAAAAAAAATTACCAGAAAATACAGCTGAGAATTGAAAGCAGCTCAAACACACGTCAGCACAGGAATCAAAATACATTTCAGTCACCAGAGAAACCTGTGCTAATGGATAGTATTTCCAGTCCAAAACAGGTAAATAACAACCCTCTTTAAAGAAAGAGGAAGAATAAAGCATAATTGGTAACAAATTATTTCAGATATTTATGAAGGAGAATACTGTATAAAGTGCACAACTAGCTTGGTTTTGCAATCAAAACAAGAATGTGGTGAGGTGTAGTCACGCTTGCTTATTTTAATTTACAACACAGCTTATAATACAGGGGTTGACCTGAGATACAGCTCTTAAGTACTCCAGTTATATTTGGCCATTGAAGTTTTGAAAGCTCACCCTGCACTGTGGTTTAAAAAAAAAAAGAAAGAAAAAGTGCCTGTCCATGTGTCCTTCAAAGTGCATGGTAGCAATAGGAAAAGTATATGTTGGTATGCCAAAAAAATTAATAGGACAGAGATTGAGCCAATAGGAAGACTGGAAAAGAGAGATCATCACAAAACTTCTCTGCTTGAGCAGCAGCAGCAGAGTTATCCAGGAAAACGTATGTACTCTGAGCTCAAGGGCTATGTGATGCTCAGGCAAACTACGTTGCGTTTGCATTGCAGTGGCCTTTGCAGGAACTTTGGAGAGATTCACATAACAAGTGTGCTTGATGCTTCCAACACCAAGAATAAAATAGTAGTGGCAAATTCAGAAGTCTGTAATGGAAGTGCAGTACAAGGAACAGTGACCCTAAGCATGGTCATGGCATTGCACCTGCCAACGTGCAGAGGTTTATAAAGGTTAATGATGCAGCAGAGAAGTGGGTTGTGAAGGCATTTGCAAGACAGCAACGAATGTATACTGGTAAAGAGATGGTTGAGAAAAAGGCAACACAGGAAAATGCAACCGAATTCAGTTTGAAATAACAAATCAAAAAAATAATCACTGCAGCAATATTAAAAATATGTTTCAGATAAGACTTTTCTGTGTCTCAGTTTGTATTTGTAAAGGGGAATATTAATTCTCAATGATCTAATCACAGCACTTTGAGGCTGGTGAACAAAAACCTAGAATAGTAGTAGAACAAAAGAAGGATGCAATTTTGGTGCTGGGGAGAAAAGGACGGTAACAATGAGATAAAGCAGAGCATAACTGTGGAAACTGTAGTTTGGGAAACTCTAGATAACAACACAGTAAACACTGAGTAAAGGCCACAGTGGTGAGAACCAAGGTTTCCTCTGGATCTAAAGCAAGAATCTTAAGAATCCTGGCATTGTATGAAATACTGACAAATGTAGTAACAGCAATACTGAATAATCAATCAGAAATAACAGCAGAAGAAAACTAATTCCTTTTCAAAACCAATCTCCAAACTACATAACACTATGCACCAAGAGCAGTGTTGAATTTTTGGTAGTTCGGGGTAAATCTAACAAAGGAAAAACCCAAGGTTAAGAATCTGATGGTGCAGCAGTGCTGTGCAACTACACCTACATTTAATGCAATCTAGCATCACAGATTCATGGCACCTTTGAAAATCAGGCTTTAAAAAGATAAACCCCACAATTTAGCTGGACAAACTTGGTACTTAAAGATACCTAAAGGCTGTGATATTCACCTGAAGGAACCAACAAAGGCAATTTAAACCTGGATCCCAAATAAAAAGTTAGAGGACTGTCTTTAAGGAGATTCTGTGAGAAAACACCTTGCATAAGCAGGAAAGGTTTCGAACATCTTCCTTTATGCCTTCGTATATAACCTCTTTCTGTCATTGAGGGCACTCAGACAGCTAATGAGGTAGGTATAGCACAACCAAGTCTTTCCTGATAACTAACAGTGATGGTAACACTTTCAACCTTATTGATTGGCCTAGAACAGAAATCATGATGATAACGGGTCTATGTATCCCTGAGAGGGAGTATAAAACAGGAAGAACAGGAGTCTTCTCCATAGATTTTGGGAGAATGGCCATCACCTCACTGCCATGGTGGGAAACCATTATATGAAATAAATGTATTCACACAACATTGCTGTGAGATATGTGTTTTATAGATGGGGGAGCCAGAAAAGTTAATTGACTTGCCTATGGCCATTAAAGCAGTCAGTGACAGACCTGGGATTCATGATCAGGACTTCCTTGCCTCCTGCATCATGTTCCAACAGTATCTACTTGCTGGCCAGAGGCTCACTGAATGGTTGTTCTAACATACGGTATAAAGATAGTCATGCAAGGGATGTAGCACAAAGTCACTGAAGAACAGAGCTCTCTCTGCACCAGAAAGCAGATTTCTTCTGGAAGCTGCGTGCAATTGGGAACCTCTGATGGGAAGCACGTATCTGGTTTCTTCACCCTGGAATGTCTGGTGCTTAAGGCTTAGCACAATGAGGACCATTTTAATGACTAAATGTAACAGAAATAGTCCATACAGGCATAAATTACAAGGTGTCTGGTAGTGGAACAATCTTTTCCCTATGCTCTTCTGACCCTTGAAACACAAACATTAGCCTGGTTAATTCAGTGGACTCGTCACATACAACTATAGATCAGTCTATATTTCCATGTCCACAGGTCGGATATCTCCAGTTTTGTGTTCTTTTACCCACAGTTCCCTGTCTTTGGCAGGATCCACTTTCCGAAGCAACTGATCCACGAGCTCTACTGTCTAGAACGAACAAAACAAGAATCAAAATGTCAAGGGCACATTTCAAGCAGAGTACTTTCTCTTAAGAGCAGAGCAGCTATGGGCACGCCTACGTTGCACTTGCAGACAAGTGAGACTGCACGTATGCGAGACTTGGTGGACACCAGGCAGATCTGAATGTGAAGCCTCATAGTTGGAAGCAGAGAAGAGGCAGACTTTTAATGCTGAGCAGAGATGGGCCTCCTACACCAGGCAATGGCCAGTCAGTCTCTGACACCTGTCCTGCAACCTGTGCCTTACACCAAACACAACCACGTACCGAAGTCGGCATACGTCCTCTGTATTTTTATATTTGAAAACTTTCCAGTTTTTTAATAAGAAAAAATATATATACTCCCTCCCCCAACAGTGAAACTATTTACCATCTTCCTTGCAAGACTAGATGACCTCAAGGATATAGTACACCATGCTGGGAGACAATGGCTCATGCTGGCCAAATGCAATTCAACTCATTGTGTCTTCCCCAGCAAAAAGCTGTGATCCAGTAGTATGAAATGTAACCAGGATCAGAGTCTTGGAGGAGCAGGACTGTAAGGTGGCAGTACAGTACTGCTGCAAATGAACAAGCTGCCTGCATAACTCTTTTCACATCTCCTTTCGATACAGGCCAGTCAGATCAGGATAGGGACTGTTCTGCCCAGCTGAAGTGGAGTAAAGACCAAACAAAAAGCAAACTTACACTTTGGTTGAACATGTCTGTCTCATGCCGCAGCTGTGTATACTGACAAAGATGCTGCCGAATCATCTCCACCCTTTCAACTTCTAGTCTCTCAAGTTCCTGGACATGAAGAAAAACAAGTCCATATTTTTCTTGGAAGCTTGAAGGCCCAGAGAAAGGACAACACACAAAAGGTTGCCAGTCACTGCAATACTACCCCAGCTTCACGCTTTGGAGCTGAACTGTGTTTGCACATCTCTCTGACTTGGAGAGAATCAGAGACAGCAAGCAACAGAAGTCACTTCAGCCTCAGCCTAATGACAGAAAAGAAGGCTGAAATCTTTCCAGAACTCAAGGCAACCAATGCAGAGAGAGGAGCTACTGTCTTCAGGGATGCTGCAAGCAAGAGGGAATCTGTTTCCTGCAAGAAGCTTTGCATGCTTTGTTGCTAGCCCCAGAAGTTACAGCGATTCCTTGGGGAAGCAGGAGTGCAACCTGAGCAAGTACACACAAGCAGGTAGGCTGCTACACTGCCTTCCCTGTGCTATCTGCAATTTGTTAAATGTCTTTTGGGAAACAGATTCTTCATTGCAGCACAAAAACCTCAGGTGGCAGACTATCAGCCTGGGGAGGAAGAGGAGCAAAGGAGCTTATGGCACAGAAAGGACTGAAATAGACTGAGCTGCTGTTGCTGTTGCTGGCTGACGTACTGCCCGTATGGAAAAAAGGGCCCACTTTGAACTCAGACTCCCTTACGTAGGGCACAGATGTGCAGGACCAGAACACAGAACCCAGGGTGCTACTGCGGGTAAGCATGCCATATGCAGAACATGTAGCAGGAACTTCAGAAAGGTACACAAGCAAACACAAGTCTTCAGACCTTGACTCTCTCAACTTTGTACTGCCTATGAACTGATCTGCATCTGAGCTGATCAGATGCAGGCTGGTTTTCAATTTAGATTTTATCTTCCTGTATACAAAGACTTACCTTCGAATGCTTCTCAGCCTAAGTTTCACAACTGCCAAACGGTGCTGTGCAGCCTGGAGGCTATGACCTCCCTCTTGAGCTATCTACTAGTGCCCTTCTGAGTCATACTTTTGAGTCGCACATCTCCGGAGCAAATATGCAGGTAACATACACCTGGCCATATCTGGACACAGTAGCACTGATGGTCAGTGTCACTTGCATCAGTGAGAAACCACCAGTGAAGGTGAGAGGAGAATCAGATCCCTTATGCAGAGGAACAGCCAGCTTTTTTCTCTCTTGTTCTGTTTTGAGGAAGATATCCGCCTCCTGGTTTTCCACTCACCCATCTGCCTTTATTTATTTACTGCAGTTTAAATATTGCACTAACACACTTCCAAATGCTGAGCAATTTATTATCCTGCTTCTTATTAGGAGGAGTTCACAGTTTTGTGTTTGTCCAATTAGAAAAATACATACAAAAGACATTTTTATTTCCCACTTTTGAAAACAATTGGCTGCTGTCCAGAAGGGCTCCTAAGGAATGACATGAGGGAGGAGCCCTAAAGCCAAAGGGCAAGGAATACAGCACATCAAGGCTGTGTCTTGGCACCTTGGTGACTAACCCCAAAGGTATATGCTCATAGGGTGAATACTGTGAACTGTGTTATCTTCAGAGTAATGGAACAATAGGCAATTAAAGCATGCCTCTTCTGAGCTGGCAATACTTGTGAAGAAACTGTAAAATCATGGAATATAAAAATTCATTAATGTATAAATGGATTCAGTGATTTATCACGTATTTTTCCTTGTCTCCCTTGTGCATTACTTCATCCTTCCTGAGGACAATTCCAGCATCCCAGCCCCTAAGCAGCCCTCAACTGGCTTAAAGCCTTCTATAAAGAAACCATTATTTGTTCCTTCCCCTGATGATATGAGTTTTTCTTAGAACTGAGAAGGGGAAATACAGTAGATTTATCACCCAGTGTCTCCCACCATTCTGCACTGTAACTAGCTATGAGTGATGAATGTTGTACACTATTACAATTTTGCAGTGTTATACATGTAAGACACTACACAGTTACACACCAGAGTAGTGGTCACCATTTCCTCAAACCACTTGGACTGGGCTTGATTATAAAGATCCACGCAGCGCATCAGGTCATCTCCTGAAAAGTTCAAGATAGCAACGCATGAGTCTTCTCTAGCCAGTGTTACGGAGCTTAGAAGGAAATTGCAGAGCAGGTTTTGTAGACAGACCCAGAGAGTTTGAAGGTCAGTCCTGGCGGAGCTGAAGGCAGTTCCGTCACATAGTATTTGTTATGTGCAACAAAATTTCAACAAAATGCATGCACCGGATGTGTGGTCAGAGATCAGGTGACTGGGGTGAGAAAGAATGAGGGGGAGAGATAAGATTTTAAAAATAGGAACATTAAGTAACACTTAATAAAATGCCCAGAACTATGAAAGCAGGTTACTTCAGTTAAAAAAAAAGGACATAGCCAGAAAGTTATATCTGAAAAATAAAATAATTAAAATGGGAAATCAATAATAATGAGTCATTGAGCTGCAGGGTAGCACTCTGTAGGTGAGACTGCATTCTAAGACAGGTCTGTTTAAAACAGGAGAGAAGCATCAGGCTCAAGCTGTCTGAAATCAAGGGATGCTTATTTGCAACCTCAACACAGTTGCACACTCATGCATTTTCCAACCTCTGAAGATGCACAATCCCAGCTGAGCTCTGGCCTCCTCCCATGTTCAGGGCAGGAACACAATAAGCTGCGCTTATTTCAAATTTTCCTTTGTTGGTGGATTCTGCTCTGGCAGAGAGGGAAAGGTGGGTGGAAAATCTGGAAGGCTTGTCTTGGAGATTACTGCTTTCTTTCTGGCTAGTAAATTCTCTTTCTCCTTTAAATAAGGCTCAGTTATGCTTTCCCTAATGGTTTGATGCCTAGGTCCAGGCTTCAAATTTGTCCTGTTCTTTAAGGTGCAAAAAGGGTTTTATACATAAACCAGGGACGAGTCTAGCTTTAAGAACAGGAATCCATAGACCAAACAAGTGTCAAGAAGTAAATGCATCTGGAAGTCTCTCATGGACTTAGAACTTGGGGTAGCAACCAAACTCTATGAAGAAACCAGGATTCAGGGCTTAAAGCCTGGCAATAAGCTCATCTGCCCAAACGGGGGATGCACAGTCTGACATAACAAGTCTGAACTAATGGCTCCTACAATCAAGAAGGCTTCTCGGGAGCTACCTGACTTGGGATTATCCTCCACCCACCTGAGTGAATCTGAGCCACTGTACAGCCAGGAACATGAAAGCCATGAAACACGTGAACAATACACGGGAGCAGAAAGCAACACCACCTATCAGTAACCAGTGGGATCACAGAAGGGATCTGGTCTATATCTCTCTAGTCCTAACATCCACTTGCAGCAGGCCTCATTTCAAAGCTAGATCGTTACATGCTGCTTCTATGCACATCACAAGCACCCTATCTGGGCTGCTGGGCAGCACTCCCTGCGGGGATGGGGCAAGTTCTCCCCTGCTGCACACTGTAACAGTGGCACAAAGCGGTGAGACAGTGATGGGGAGACTCACACCAAATTCTGGGTTACTCCCATCTGATCTTCAGCTCTCCCTTGCTTGTTCAATAATCATAGAATAATAGAATCATAGAATACCAGGTTGAAAGGGACCTCAAGGATCATCTAGTCCAACCTTTCAAGGTAAAAATATAGTTTAAATGATAGGGCCCAGCACCCTATCAAGTTGATTCTTAAAACTGTCCAATGCAGGGCAATGTACCACCTCCCTTGGGAGGTTATTCCAATGTCTAATTGTCCTCATGGTGAAAGAGTTTCTTCTGGAGTCCAATCGGAATCTCCCCAGGAGTAACTTGTATCCATTACCCCTTATCTTTCCCATGTGACTCCTTGTAAAAAGGGAGCCTCCATCTTCTTGGTAGCCACCCTTTATGTACTGGTCCATGGTAATAAGGTCCCCCCTAAGCCTTCTCTTCTCAAGGCTGAACAAACCCAGTTCTCTCAGCCTTTCTTTATATGGCAGGTCTTCCAGTCCTTTGATCATCTTCGTGGTCCTTCTCTGGACCCTTTCCAGCTTGTCCACATATTTTTTGTATAGCGGGGACCAAAACTGAATGCAGTGCTCAAGGTGTGGTCCGACCAGCATTGAGTAGAGTGGGATAATGACTTCTTTATCTCTGCTGGTGATGCCCTTGTTAATGCAACTCAGCACTCTGTTGGCTTTCTTTGCCACTGTGGCACACTGTTCACTTGTGTTGAGCTTGTCATTCACCAAGAACCCCAGGTCCCCTTCCACAGGGCTGCTCTCCAGCCAGGTGGATCCCAGTCTGATCTGCATTCCTGGGTTATGTATTCCCAGGTGCAAGACCTTACACTTGTCCACATTGAACTTCACAAGGTTTCTGCCAGCCCACTCCTCCAGCCTGTCCAGGTCTTCCTGGAGGGTGGCTCTCCCTTCTGGAGTGTCAGCTACCCCACTCATTTTGGCGTCATCTGCAAACTTCATCGGGGTGCTCTTGATTCCAACATTCAAATCACTTTTGAAGATATTAAACAGCATTGGGCCCAATACCGATCCCTGTGGGACCCCACTTGTGACTGGTTGCCAGTTTCAGAATAAATACTTACTACCACCCTCTGGGCTACGGCCTGTCAGCCAGTTCCCCACCCATCACACAGATCGCTTGTCTAGGTTGTAACGTGTCAGTTTTTCGAGGAGGAGGCGGTGGGGGATCGTGTCAAAAGCCTTGGAGAAGTCCAGGTAGACAATGTCCACTGCTCACACTGCATCAACCAGGCAGGTTACTTTGTCACAGAAAGCAATCAGGTTTGTTAAGCACAATTTGCCCCTGCTGAATCCATGCCGGCTTTTCCCAAACACATGCTTCAGTTTACTTGTGATAGTCCCCAGGAGGATTTGCTGCATAACTTTCTCAAGGATTGACGTGAGGCTAATGGGTCTGTAATTACCTCGGTCTTCCCTGGAACCCATCCTGTAGGTAGGGGTGACATTAGCCCTCCTCCAGTCTTCAGGCGCGTCTCCTGATCTCCACAACTTCTCAAAGATTATGGGGAGCGGCCTCGCAGCAACATCAGGCAGCTCTGCCAACACCCTTGGGTGGATGGCATCCAGGTCCATCGGTTTGTATGGGTCAAGCTCCTGTAACAGTTGACACACAAACTCTTCCTTCACTGACAGTGGGTCTGCGTCTGCATCAATCTGGATTTTTGTTCCTGTGGCCTGGGACCCAACAGCACTGCTAAAGACAGAGGTGAAGAGGGTGTTGAGGACCTCTGCCTTTTCAGTGTTGTTGTTGACTAGCTCACCTTTTCTGTTTAATAGTGGGCCAATTCTCTCCTGTTTCTGCTTGTGGTAAACGTATCTGAAGAACCCTTTCTTGAAGTTTCTGACATCTCTGGCCAATTCCAGTTCAAGCTGAGCTTTTGCTTTCCTAACTGCACCTCTGCATACCCTGGCAATGCCCTTCTGATCTTCAACAGGTAACGTTCCACTTTTCCATCTCTGGTGTGTTTCCCTTTTGGTTCTGAGCAGACCCAGAAGTTAGCAGTTAAGCCAAGGGAGTCTCTTACTCCGCCTACTTCCCTTGTCTTTAGAGGGGATGAACTGGTTTTGTGCATCTAGGAGTGGTTCTTGAAAAACTCCCAGCACTCACTAGCTCCTTTATCCTCCACGGAAGCTTCCCATGGGATTCCTTCCAACTGAGCCCTGAGCAGGCTGAAGTTTCCTCTTCTAAAGTCTAAAATCTTTGTCTTGGACCTAACCTTCAGCATGCTCAGCTTTAGCCCAAACTCCACTGCAGCCAAGGCTGTCGCTAACCGAGATATTAGAGAGCATGTTTGCTTGGTTAATAAATACGCATCACAATTTCTGAGGACCCAAGAGAACAAAGAGAGGCTGTGAATTTGCACGAATAAGGAGCATCTCTCATGGAGCCTCCTGTTACTAACACATAACTTTTGTTTCTCCTCAAATGGTTGTCTATACACATGGTCACGCTGCAAATGACTCCTCTCAGTCTCCTCTAAACCCAGACAAGCTACCCTGAAGTTTTAAAAGCCTCAGAACCATGAAGGACCACTCTGACAAGGAACAGACCTATGAAGGCATGAAACATGGAAGCCCTAGTTAAAACACATTTTCAGCAAAGGTACTAACAGGCTGCACGTATCAGCTTTGCAGACCTCAAGACAGAAAGTTCCTGACGGATCCTGTAGAAGTGCTTTGAGCCTCTGTAAAACATGCATAGGTCACATCAAGCAGCTGAGTCCTCAGCACAGTACAGCTCACACTACTGCATCCTCAGTATCCCTTGAACAGAAATAATTTTAATCACTGAGTAGCAGTGGAAAAAAGACAAAAAGTTCACTTACAAGGAAAAAGACAGTAACAGCATAATAGGCACCCACATAGTTGTAGGCAGCTGTGGTTTAGGAAAGAACCAAGGCAGGAACTAAAGGAACATAATCCAGCAGTGCAGCACAGACTAGGATCTACCTGGCTGGAGAGCAGCTCTGTGGAAAGGGACTTGGGGTCCTGGTGGACAGCAAGCTCAAGTGTGCTGCAGCTGCAGCAGCAAAGGAAGCCAACAGCACCAACAAGGGCATCACCAGCAGAGATAAAGAAGTCATTATCCCACTTTACTCAGCGCTTGTCAGGCCACACCTGAAATACTGGGTTCAGTTTCAGTCCCTGCTGTACAAAAAAAGATGTGAGCAGGCTGGAGAGGGTCCAGACAAGGGCCACAAAGTTGACCAAAGGACTGGGAAGCCTGCCACATGAGGAAAGGCTGAAAGAACTGGCTTTGTTCAGCCTTGAGAAAAGAAGGCTCAGGGGACAGCTTATCATCATGTTCCAGTATTTAAAAAGGCAGCTACAAAGAAGATGGAGACTCCCTTTTTACAAGGAGTCACATGGAAATAGCTAGGGGTAGTGGGTACAAGTTACTCCTGGGGAGATTCTGATTGGGCACAAGAGGAAAATTTTTCACAACATGAACAACCAGCCATTGGAACAATCTCCCCAGGGAAGCAGTGGATTCCCCAATGGACACCTTTAAGATTCAGCTGGACAGGGTGCTGGGCCATCTTGTCTAGACTGTGCTTCTACCAAGAAAGGTTGGATCAGACGATCTTTGAGGTCCCTTCCAACTTTGAATGCTACGATTCTATAATTTAAGGAAGAAACATCCTCAGCTGAGCTGCTTTGGATTTGACTTTGAAAGTTTCACAAATGTTCAGTTATCTCAGCACACTTTCACAAAATGAAAGGACAATTCACCCTCCTTTTACTGTTTGCACCCCAAGTATCAAAATCATCATTTTGTGATGTCTGACTTGGAAAAAATGGGCTTGTTTCTTGAGAGTATTTAATACTAAACAGATTTGCAGCACAATTCACTTTGACTTTGTAGCTACAATATTAAAAAACAAGCAACACGTGGGTGGATGGGCAGTTGCATCCTGTCTTGTTCCTGCTGTCCATGTGGCTGTGCTCACCTCCCACCACTGATAGACACAGGTACTCACCTGCCTGAGTGGACTTCCGTCTTGCCTTCTTAATTTCCTCTTCCGTCTTGTTGCTGAGCTTCATCTCTAGCTGCTGCGTTTTCATTTCCAGATCCTTCTGTCTCTCTGTCAAGGCTTTCCGGGCCTTGGAATAATTAAACAAAGAGTCATATGTTTTAGAGGGGAAGAGCTGCCAGCTGCTTTTAGCCATCTATGACTCCTTCACACAAGTATTGGTCAGTAAGAAGTCAGGGACTCTACATAAAACTGAGTCCTAACTGGGATTCAAATTCTTAGGACACCATGTGGTGTTCAAAAAAGTTTCCTACCACCATATAGAAGTTGTTACCAACTCATCACAAAAGCATTTGAAGTCTTAATAGGTTCTTAGAAAGGCACAGTACATATGGCATCATCAGACTTTCACATTTCTTAGTAACTTTCTCACTATTTCTGGAAGAAAGGGGAGCTGGAGCTTCTTCCAAATGCCTTAACCAGCATCACCAAGACACCTCTCCCATTTGCTTTTCTCAGTATCTAAATTGTTGAAAGAATTTCAAGTATCTTACAAAATTTATTTTTAAGTACCTTCTGGATTCAATATACACTATTCAGAAGCTCTAACAATAGGAACTTTTAGACTTACTTCAGAAAAACTAATTAAGGTTCATGACAACAGCAGTTCATACTGTAGAAATCAAGAACCTGAGACCTGGTTACAACTTGATTATTTAAATTATTTTACTTTGAAGTTCTTCAGGCTTTTAAAACCTGATTTATTAGTATTATTACTGAACTTGTACAGGTAAATTAGTAAAGTGTCTTAACAAATAAACATTACCACACATGCATGCTGTCACCTCATTTGCTGAGGTTGCCTAAATACATAAAATAAAAATAACTTGTTCTGCACAGGCTTGTTATAAAATAGGTCACATTTGTTCTTGCTCAAATTATAGTGTTTAAAACCAAATTTGGACGATTATATTTTGTTAGCACCTTGCAGTTTTCTACAGTCACACCAGCCTGCAACCTACAATGCTCTTGATGCATTACTTGAAATTTTTCAGTTTGCAGTTTTCAAGACGCTGCGCGTGGCTCAGCAGGTCGCAAGAGGGAGCTGCAGGAAAGCAACCTCGTGAGAAGCTGGGTGCTTCATCAGGCAGACAGCAGACACGGCTTTTCCCTTTTTTTATTCCTTCTTCTCAAGGTTATTCCAATTCATTCTTTTCAATATCCCTACTGAGGGCTGTGTTTCTTTGCAGATATGGCTGTGAAGAACGTACTGTTTTGCAGAAAGATGCTTTCCCTGCACAGAGACAGTCTAATAACGTTGCATATCCTGTAACAATTCTGTCCCTGGGCAAACTTTCTCATGTGCACTCTGATCTTTAATGAAAGCCCAAACAACCTTCTGGGTTGACTGAGCACGGTATTTTCCTTTCCAACTTACACCCAAGAGCAAACCACATAAGCATACCATTTGGCATAAGCATCTTGGCAACCAAGGCATGGGCAGCCTGTTTCCTGCCAGCTGCTAAGAGAGCACTTTTTGTGGTTGTAACTCTCCATAAATCCCTCAGCTACTGGATGCTCATGTTAAAACAGCCCCTGATACTAGGGTGCTGCTGCTGCTTGGGTTTTTCAGGTGAGGATGTTTGCGAGGCACAGAGAACAGGAACTGGGAGAAATTTGACTCACTGTACCAGGTTTGAGATGCCTTCCTTGGCCATCTGCTTTTGGCCACTGCATAAGAGGATAATTGAGCCAGCGGAGCCTTTGGGTTGACCCTGCTGCTATTCTAAAGCAAGGGTTTTTTAAATTTTGAGGGCAATAGGTGTGACTTCCAGATGCACAAAAGCAAGGAGTTATTTTCATCAAAAGTATTAGAAATATATTGTCCCAAATTGGGAAGGTGAAGATGGAACAAAAAGCCAGTTTGGCAGCAACATGTTAGCCCTGCCTGTAGTCCCCAGCTTCCCAAATCTCAGCTATCCAGCAAATGACATCTGGGGCCCAGCAAAACATAACAAACAGCAGAACACATCATCAGAAACCTTTGCGGTTCTTTGTGGCAGAACAGAAACTTTTCATGGGGCAGCTGCTTTTCTGTCAAAACCAGCAGCATCTTGTAACTCTCCAGTTTGTTCTCTGCTCCCACCTTTTCAACTGCTGCGTAGCGGCTGGCCAAATGCTTCCGTAAGTCTGCAATATGGTGGTCGCATTTCTTCATGTCTTTCTTAAAGTTCTCTCTGAAGTTGAGTAGGGGTTTCTCTACCTCACTCTGAAGCTGGTAATGAAAACAAAGGAAGAAATGGCAATAACGAAGAGCTGGGAAGTAATTCCTGGCTCTTCTGCTGAGCAGAGCTCAGGACAGAGAACAATACACACACCGCAGTCATAGGCAATGTCATACAGCAACAATTCTCTTCCCCAAGAGAGCTCTGAGAGAAGCTACAGAAAAACTCAGCTCTTGGCAGGACAGCTCTGTTAAGGGAAGGGAGCAAAAGGACAGAAATCTTGACTTCCTCTCTCCCCATTAAATCGTATCTCTCTGCTTACACATAACTGTAGGCAATATCCACAGCACTACTCGAGGTGCTCTGATTCTGGCATAATGATGCAACTTAAAAAAACCCAAAGTACACAAACTAAAGCCACTAACCCTGACTGCAATAAGGTGAGCCAGTGGACCATGGTGACACGTCTGCATTTCTTGTACAGTGAAAAGAGATTCAGTGAGGGCACTTTTATTTATCTCTGTCAAGGATAAGGAAGCCTGAGGAGAAGCCTGGGTATTTAGTTGACACACTTTAAGTAGTGGCAAGAAACCACTGAAATGAACCCAGGAGAGATCCATCAAGACTGCACATGTGACATCTCTTACAAGCAGGACATGACAGTCAGTAATACTCAACTCTGATACAGAGTTTGCATCATAATGCTTTTTGGGCTTGATACACAGTTTTAACATCTAGGAAATGTGCTCTGAAGGGATACAGTTAATTCACCTGCCCAGAAGCAACCAAATACTTCATTTCTATTGTCCCTCCTGTGGGGATTGCTGCTCTGCCAACACAGGTGAGTTGGGTCTGTAGTCACCTAACATGGCTAACAGTGGAGCAGTATCGAATAGTCCTGAAAGCAAGTATTTCTGGCCTTTCTCCAGTGCTATTTTAATGGAAAAGGAAATTTCATTCAAGCTCAGTACAGACTTTTAATGGAGAGAGGCTACAAAGACAGCCAAGGCCCTACAGCACACATCCTAGAGGTTAAACAAGCCTAAAGGACAGCTTGTTTAGGCAGATGAAGACTGGCACCATGGTGATCTAATGTGGCCTACAGCAATTCAAAGGTCAGATGCAAGGGTAACAGAGCCAAATTCTTCTTTGTAGGACCAGGTAATGTCACAACAGACAACTGAGGTTTAGGAGGCTGAGGTTGAACGTAAATTAAAAAAAAAAAAAAAAAAATCACCAGAATGGTAGCTGGGCATTGGAAGAGGTTGACCAGTGAGGTCAGGTGAAATCTCTGTCCTTAGAGATGTTCAAGATATGCTAGACAAAGATGTAGCTGGCTTGATCCACTGTGGGTTATAGTCCTGCTTTGACTGTGGGGGTTGGACTAGAAAATTCTGGACAGTATTTTTATGACAGTCTCATCAGGGTGGCCCCAGGAAAACTAATAAAGACCTGTTCACAACCCTTGTGGTTCAGCGTGGTTACACAAGCTCTCTCAAGAACAGAGGTACAAACAGACAGCTGTGCCAGGAGAATTGTCAATGCTCAACAAAACAAGAACTGGAACAGAGAGAAGTTCAGGATGGCTTCAGTGAACTCCAGAGGCAATATATTACAATTGATACAGATGTTTGTGTCCAACTGAGTTTGAAGTAGCTGAACAGTCTGCGTGCCCTTCAGACTGCTCCATTAATAAATGGATTCACCTGGGTAAACAACCCAACATGAGTCAATTATCCTCAGTGGAATAACTGGCCATTTGACTTATCTGATACAAGTAGGCATTGCTGTAAAAACTCTTATAAAAATCCCCAGGGCCAGGGACACAACAAACAGGAGGGCATTTCACTGGTAGTTCTACTTGCCTAATAGAAAGTAAAGATACTTGTTTATGTCACATGGTTTATAATGGGACAGGAAATTCTGAGATCCTCATAAAGATGGGAAACCCATCACCAGGAGGCTCAAAATGCAAACAAGGCAACTGCTTTCTCCAGGTTTGTCTTCTGGGAATCCAAAAAGTAAACTTCTCAGCGAAGGCAGTCATCTTTCCTCTAGCATAATTACCCTGCTTGAACTTCCACCTTGCAAGAAGTACATAAGCTATCAAAATGAACTCACGTGTGAATGACCCAGGCTTTTAAATGTTGTATTAGAATTGACCATATTTTTTCTTTTTTTCTTTTTTTTTTTTTGCTAGATCTTGCTAGAAGACTTTCAAATTGCATGCAATAGATGAAAAAAACATAAACTACTTTCCTTCGATCAAGAGATCTAAAGCACTAGTGTGTACAGACAACTCTGACACTTACCCATCACTGAAAGGATGAGATGTGACAAAGGACCTGAAATCTTAAGAAGTTTGCTAAAAGAAGTTATCAGGTACAGGACAGAGACCCTGTATCTCTGTACCAGTATGGTACAGAGGCATAGGGTTAATCATGGTATTAGATGCTGGAGAAACTACACAGCTGAGCTATCAGAATCCACACTTCAAAAATTCCTCTGATTTCACAAATACTTATTTTTTCCTTTGCTCCATCAGCATCATTTCCAGAATGGCTGGTAACACACCATCATATCCAGGCCAGCCCACCATGACTTCAACTAGTACAACATGTGTGCATCTTCTCTTCCAGCAGAACTCGCCTCCTAGAGCTCAGTGAAGGATAATCAGATAACTGGAGAAGAGGTTCAGTGCCATGATGGCCTTCTTGAAGGATTCCTCGTGTGCACGTACCTACAGCTTCCATGCCAGTCTGTGCAGGCATCAGTAGTGTAACAACATTTTATGTTCCAAGTGCCACGAGAGTGCTGTCCCCTTCTCTGATCTGTTTGTGAACCCTAATGTAACAGTTCAGTGAAGGACCATTACGGAAACTGTTCAATGTCTTCAAGGATGGTGTTTATGCTTGAATACACTTCCTGTGCTCTGCACTGTACTGTTTGCTTGTGCCAGCACTGACTGGTTTCATTCGACTATCAACGAGAAATGTAATTACGACTTCTAAGAATAACTTCTCTGAAAGTAATAGCAATGATCAGTATGTTTAAAAACATGTTCTGTTAACAAAAGAAAGCCGGAACTAGGAACTCCCAATGCGGGTACAGGAACAGTGAGGAGAGTTCAGAAGATGCTATAGGAGCTTCTGCGCAGGGTTTAAGGCAAAATAATGAAATGAGCCCCTATATATTGCCTGCCTACACACACACCACTCCAGGGTGCATTTCTTCCTCTTGGAAAACAATCAGGAGGACAATGGGAAGCAAAAAGTATTTCACTAATTATAGCCCTGAAGTAGAAGTTTGAAGCAGAGCAGGGGGTTGCCAAGGCAGCAGCTGGTTGCCCGAGTAACCTCTGCATAATCGCTTACAAACAGTGTGGAGCTATAATCTTCCTCCAGAACATGGCTGTTGTGCTGAGATACCTGCTGCTGTATTGATGTTGGTCACCCACAAAGGTTAACACAATGTAACAGGTCACAAGTGTATATCACATGTGGTGGGAAAAAACCCAGATAAATGCCATAATTTGTACAAGAAATCTCCTTGGGCAGCACTTGAGAGAAGATTCAAAAATAACATGAAGTAAATTCCCAGTGCACGCTTCAGAAAGGCTAACGATACAAAGAGGTCAGAGTACTGGTTCTCCTTCTTCCAGACAGATATGGTAGATTCTTGCTAAGAAGCCAAATACTACTTTTTATTTCTTCCTCTACAGAAGTAATCTGTGCAAGCTTTACGTAAACTTACTTGAACACGCTTGAACTTAAGAGCCCTAGGTGAATAACCTCTAGAATCAGTTTTCCTTCATTTTTATGAAAAATTAATTTACTCATCAGGTAGGCTAAATAAACTACGATTTTGGCAGGAAGAATTGACAGTTTCAATAAGTTTGTTCAGTAAGTTTGTTGAAGGGAGATCCATATCAATCACAAGGCAAAAATCTTTGCAAAAGGAAGAACTATTTACCTTAGAAGAAAATTTGAGATGAACCTCTGCTTCATCAGCTAGACTCTTCTTTAGCTGAGCCCAAGCCTCTCCTAGTGTGCTGAAAAAACACAGAGTGACAATGATCAACGCCCTGTTTTCTGTGCATCCTCCCAGTGAGATTTGTCAGACAGTGTCAGATAGACGTAGTACAACGCTCTGTACCATATCTTGCTCAGCAAAATCACAGAAAAGCGGTAGCAGAAATCTGAGAAGATAATCGATCTCTGCGACCAAGGCAGAATTATATTGGTATTGTATGTAGCAGATCTTTGAAAACACTGTTCATAACCATCTTCCGCTACATAGATGTCACAGTCTCCATAAGCAAGATACTGCAGTATTTTATCCTTACCATAACAAAGTTTTTCTCTTCTGAGCTTTAAAATAAATCTTCACCAATGCAGTTTTGCCATTGCCTCTTCTACTTTACACCCTACTTTTGGTGAACAGATTATTTTATTTCTCCTCAGAGAAGACTTTCAGTATTTGAAAACTACTCCATCTTCTTTTTCCTTCAGACAAATTAGTTTCTACATCATGGGCAGTTTAGGTATGCTCCTCTAGACCCTCTCCAACAGCCTACATTTCTCTTAAAGTGTCATAACCGAAACTACACTGTCTTCCAGCAGAGGTCTTCCAGTTGATAAACTGGTAACAGATTCTTTCATATCAGACACTCTTTCTTCTACATATCTCAGTATGATGACTGCTTTTTTAGACAACAGCGCGACATTGTTGATGAATAAGCTTGTGATTCACTATAGCCAGATCCTTCTCCCACAAACTGTTATGTAACTGTATCTTTCACATCTTGTGCAAGTATAAAACCTGGTACTTTGTCCTCATTGAAATGCATTTTAATTTTTTCCAGTTAATTTCTCTAGTTTAACAAAATAATTCTCAACTGCAATCTTTTCTTCAAATTGTACATACTATCCCTCCTAGCTTTGTCTCATCTCTGATTACAGTAAACCCATTATTTATTCTATCATAGGTCATTAACAAAACATTGGAAAAAATGTGGACTTGGGATGAACCTTACGGGATCTTGCTCCATGGCTGCTTTCTGCACTTCACTTCTTGTAAGTGATGGGTATAATTTCTTACTTAAGTTTTGTACCTTAGGCTTTATTTAGGCCACATTTCTCTTGCCTGCCCACAAGAACCTCCCATTGCAAAAAGCTGTACTAAATTAAGAGCTATGATGCTGACAACTACTGTTATTCCACCACCAGAGGAATTTAGGTTGGTTTGACATTATTTGTTCTGTATGCATTCACGAAAATTACTCATCACCTTAGTTTTCCACTAAGTGCTTCTAGAAAGGTTGATGGTTTATTCTGCAACTTTGCAGAGGTTAAATAAAGCTGAGTGATCTACATTTTCCTGTCTCCTTCTCTATCTCCCCCACCCCCTTCTCAAAGACAGTCATATTTGACCCTTCCTGATAGGCTGAAAAATTACCTGTCATATGCAATTTCAAAATAATGATCTGTAATCTCTGATGTTGCTCCAATAAATTGAGTACTCAAGCATGGTGTTCATCACAGTTAAATAACCTAAGAGTGTTTCACTTATGTAAGTGCTCCCAACTCTTCTCCTTCTCTAGTCCCACCCTGAGGTCCCCTCCCACTGTCCAGTTCTCACTGGCACTATTTTATCTGATCTATTTAAGCAAAGAAGGCATTTCAGCCTGCTAAGCATCTTCTGCATCTCTTATCCATCTACAATGACTTAAACGACCAGGGATTGTATCACCTTCTGTTCACATGCAGCAGCACTGTACTCACAGCAACCTGGACAGAACCATCATGATACCACAAATCAGTCCCATCTTGTCACCCTTGTGTCCCACTCACATACACGATGGTGGGTCTTCTTACCACCAGAGGAGGGCAGAGGACCCTAGAGGGACAGCCCATACTTTGTGTCGATTCCATAGACTGCTGGACAGGAAAGCTGGAAAATGCTCTGTGGAGTATGAAACCAGCAGTGGTAACTGGTGTGTTCACAGAGCAGTTCATGGGGTCCCCCGACTCACACCTTCTCAGGAATAAGAGGAAGACCCTGGTGAACATTTTACTTTGAGTGTGCTAGACTGCAATCCCACTTCTGGCTCCTTCAGATCCTCCTGTTGGCTGCTCTTCCTCCCTCACTTTTTTAAGTGGAATTTTTCCCTTTCCTGGGCCTCACCAATTCCCAGGATCTTGCCACTAGCCTCTTCCAGGCCTTAGCCAGTTTGGCCACCACAGCACCAGGAGGAGAAATTCCAGCACAACCTACTCCCATGCCCTCACCTTGCCACCCCTCCAGGCAGAGCACCACCAGGCAGTGTTCCTAGCTCCCTGCACTCTGCTCCATGTCCCCTTCAATTCCCTACTTCAACATTTTTTATACTCTGGTCCTCATTCCCTCTCTTCTCATCTACTCTCTCCTAGTTTCCATCCCCTTCATTTTTTCCAGCATTCCCCCCTTCTCCTATTGGGGCTAGGAGTTAAGTGGGAGGAGGATGTGGAAGAAAGTGGGTTTTAGCTTTGCTAGGAGCAGGTTAACACGCATCTCTAAAGAGGAAAGAAGAACAGAAACCATCATCAATGTAAGTGCTTAGGGAAGTAATAGCCTAGTTAGCCTCTTGTAATTTCTGTCCTTGCATGCTGGAAGCTGAGCAAACACCTCGTGGAGCTTCAGCACCAGTAGAAACACATTGTGTCAGAATTAGGGTGAGGACAGTCATTTCCAGCCTTGGCTTTCAGGGCTTGGAGGGTTTGTGTTGGAACAGATAGAGCTAACAACTTCTAATCTGTCAGGAGTGGAGTCTTTTTCATTATTACTGAAACATTGCAATCTAGTCTGAAGTGCATTGCCTAATACCTTCTTAATCACTTCCAAAGTGTGAACATGCTGTAAATAAGGTACAACCTGCTGCTGTTCTTGAAGGGCCAGGGCCACTACGAAGAAGAGACTTCTTCATCCTCCCTCCATCTCTGCTGCTCCAATTCTACTGGCCTCACCTTACACATCTACTTTCAGCAGTATATACATTCTTCCACATTCAAACTAATTTAGTATTTACACATGCTAATCCCTAAAGGAAGTAGTGCTGGCTAGAACAAGGATAGCAGAAACACATTATTGGAAATGCAGTGTTTTACACATATAATCCTAAAAATTTGCCATTAACATCTTCAAAGAAAAGTACTCCAAAACAATTCTATCTTCCCCAACACACCCAGGATGCTAAGCTAAATAAACCTCTACTCAATGGGAGAGCTCAAGAAAAATACATGTACCTGTGTGGGAGGAATGCCTTTTCTGTAAAAATTCTTGTCTTCTGCAAAAGTCACAGAGACACACTTACCCTTCTTCTTGAGCAGCCAAGGAATTCTGAGACAGTTTGGACAGGTTCTTAGCATATTCCTCCTCAATTTTGATCCTACACTCACACACACACAGCGAGAGAAAATAAAAAGACAGCAGTAAGTAAGCTTTGAGGCAGAAACCCACACACATAATTTAAAGAAATTCTCTGCATTTTAACAGATCTTGCCACAGGAATTTTCCTTTCAGTCTCCAGGGCTTGGCAGCACCAGTTTCAGGATCCACCTCTCCCCTCCATATGCTAAAAATGCAGTGGTAAGAGCAGGGATATATGCAGGACAGCATGTATGATAAAATTAGAAGAAAAAGCTACAGTTCTGGAGAGCAAATAACACGGACAAAATGTTTCTACTGTACAACATGGACTGTCTGCAAAACTGGGCTCACTCGAGAAGCATGTGTTTCAAGTTTGCTGCTAAACGTGAGGTCGCACATCCTTGAAGCAAAGATGAAGGAATGCAGCGATACAAGAGGAATCCAAATGAGGTTTGGGGTGCTGGATTGCACCTTTCCTAGGGACATCGAATGCTTCTTGCTCCTCGTTACAGCTGACAAACCTGGTGAAGATATGGCAGGGGCTTCTGTTACCAATATATGGTGGTGCAGCCCCTGCCCTCCATCCATCCCACCCACCACCCTGTCCTTCTCTCCACTCACTCAGCAGCACCACAATAGGAAGAGGATCTGAGCTTGCCAGCAGTGGGGGTGGAGAAGAGGGAAGCTGTGGGCACACAGCCACTGTGGGAATGGCTGCAAGAAGAAGAACAAGTGTAGCTGTTGAGCAAAGGAACAAGGGTAATTGCTGACTGCACAGCAGTGAGGGAAGGAGCAGCTGCTGGTTCACACCTGAAATCCATCTCCATCTCCCCTGAATTCTTCTCCTAGTGGAACACTTGCAAGGTATACATGATCCAACCAGCATGAACAACTGGCTGTTAACTGGTTTTCAAACCAGCTTGCTCAATAGAGCATGTCCAAGAGAGCTGAGCGGCACCCAGATGGAGCAACTCCTGATTCTGTGCTAACTATGTACAAGCAGGGGCAAAGCCTGGTTTGAAATCCATCTCCTTCCAGTGAGTAGGCAGAAGGTGGGATATTTTTGGCATGCCCACTTGCAGTAGCTAGTTGAGCAAGCACTGCTATGCTCGGCACATTTGAGACAAAAGGAGTCCCTTGAGCCAGCTAAGAGAGAGGTCTGATATTCTGGGCTGCTGAAAATATGATCTGGATGTCACCCTGTGGGATGCAGCCAGCCAAGACCCAAGGTGACATCCAGCTCAGTACAGTACAACTACAGACCTCACTCAGCATGTGGGGGTCCCCTTTTTCCCCCTCTTGTGAGTACAAAACCAGCCAGCTCCCCATGCCTGCTGTAGCGAGACCAACAAATACAGCTGTCCAGCACCAAAGCTTACACTGTGGTTAGCACCTCAGTATGAAAAGGGCTTTATCCAGCCACATTTCACCTGACCTACTTTAAATACCTACTTCAGGATTAGACTAGTCTTGTCTCAGAAGTAACTATTTCTATGGACTGGAAAGGCCAACTATAATAAAGATGCAAATGTCTAAATGTAGCTGAGAAAAATACTTATATGTCCATCAAAAAGCCAGGTCTCACTGCTTATGCCTCAGTTACTAGAAGTTCCCAACCAAAGCTCATCTACATCCTTCACCATGCAATTTTATTCCTGCGGATTTTGGCTTAAGGATGCCTTTGAGTGATTTACTTGTGGATGCTAGGTGTATAAAGGTGCTAGCTGGTCTGTTGACTGTTCTGAGCTGCCCATACAGACAGACCCTCACGGAATCCATGTTTCAGTCCTCTGTCTCATGAACAGAGGAATAACCATCTTCCATCATGAAGGTTTGCTTTGAAAATAATGAATTTAAAACCCTGTGAAGTTCTTTGTTGCTGCTGCTGTAGTGGGGGAAGTATTGGACACAACAAGACAGAAGCAAGCCTTGCTATTTTCACAATCACACATAAGACACACTATGTCTCCTGCCATCGGTGCCTGCCCTAAGTGTGGCACCCTACATGCAAAGACCCTGGCTTTGACAGAAGCACTTCTCACCGGTCCCACCTTTAGCCTAGGCTCTGGGGTTTCATGTGTTACTCGTACTGCAGGTGGATGGCACTACCAATAGGGCATACTGCCTGGCCAGGAGGAATAACAATAAAAAGGCAAACTGGTTATTGCTTAAGAGTCCGAATTACAAGACATAAATTGTTCCACCCCAGCCTGGCGTCCTGTCACCATCTGTGGCCAAAACATCATGAACACCTCAAAAGAGGTTAAAACCCAAGATGAAGATATACCTTAAAAAGAGAAACAAATATGCCTCCAGGCCCTGGCCGATATAAACACCCTGCAAACTCTCTACTGTGGTGACTGTGAAACCCCAGCACATCAGCACACAGGGACTCCTGAGCCTTGTGAGCCTACCTCCAGAAATCCACACTGCTGTTTCACAGTTACTCCACCGTCACATCAAAAACCCCCAAGTTTCTTGTTTCCACTAACTTATTCGAAAACTTTGAGAATTTCACTCCCTGTGTAGTCAGAAGCATTACAGATTATAAGTGCATTTTGACCCATACTGTCTTGACTTTATATTCTAGTTGCTCTTTAGATCTTTATTTCCTGCTCTCTTATGGTTTTTTTTTTAAACAAAGTACTTCGTGTGCCCACACTCAGTTTCAGCCATGCCATGTTAAAATGGATGAAGAAACACTAAAGAGCTACAACGGGAGGCAAAGATGATCTGATGTGACTACCATGCAAGACGAAACTAAATAGATTAAGACAACATGGGGAACACGGAGAGAAGGGGATAGAGGATATCTGACAGAGATCTACACAACTGTCACTATGTGAAGACAGTGACTATGAGTCTTTTTACAGTATTTCTCCAGATTAGGAGGCAACAACAGAACTATCAGCCAACAGAAGCATAATTACTTTTCCTGTAGCGCAGAAGTTGCAGAAGTCTTCTACAAATTATTGCAGTGGTCAAAAATACAAAAAGACTCAAAAGGATTTAGACAAACAGTGGAAGATGTTTACAACTATCTGCTGAACATGGCAGACCTAAGGCAAACTCCAGCTCTGGAAATCCCCAAACTTCTGCTTCTTGGAAGCAGGGAGGACAGAGACTCTCATGCTCTTTTTCTCTTATGCACTTAGTACTGCCATGGTCAGCTTGAAGTCAGTAAGCTAGAGACACCTTCAACAGACTCAGTACAGCCATTCTCCTAGTTGTGTTTCTTTTCACATAGCTAAATAATCTGCTATTTATTTTAAATTTTCTAAGCATAGCCCAGATCAACTAAAAAGTGAGGGGTCAAAAGTGTAAGACAGTGTTCGTTCGCTAACAAAACCACTATTTCTTATACTCGGAGAGACTGACACTATTCAGGGCAGCCTGCAGATTTTCTTGGCCATTTTGGAGTGCCTACTTGAATGCGAATGCTGGACCAGATTTTCACTTCTGATTTAAAGTAATTCTTTCCTTCTTTCACACCCACACCCTTGATCTTTCAGTTCAGTCAATTTACTAATTGTTTTGCTCCCTTTCTTCAAGTCTGTTTTATTAAAATTCAAAGTCTGTATTACAACCCTACCTTTGTCAACAAGAACTGAACAAACACATAATTGCCTAGTCTAAGATTGCTATTTATAAGTAGCTCCTCTAAAAGCATCTACTTAATAACCCAAATTTCGGTTAGTACTGTTGGTCACTTGATGAAGAAATCTGGTTATTATGTCTCATCCCTGCTTCCCACTTAAAGCTATTTTTATTAGCTGCCTGAACCTCAGCTCCAGAAGGCTGGTTGTACAGATGGAGAGAATTTTTCTGGACATGAAACCCCCTAGTTAAACACACTCTTGTATTTCTTAAGCCACCTGATGGTCATCATGAAAATCTTGTCAGTACTTCTTCCCTCTTAGCTGTGAATGTAAAGGTTCTCCTGATGGTCTAAGCTCTCATTTTCGTGAGTAACCTCTCCAGGTCAACACTGTCCTCCTCCTTTTCCATACAGGGGCAATCCTGAATCATTTGCTCCAAACAGAAGAAAAATATATTCATCTTATAACTCCTACCTAGATCCTCTTCACACTCAATTCCAAACCTTCTTTGTTTCCAGCACACAGTGAATCTTTTTTGTCTTTTCTTCTATAACATGCCTACTTCCTCCTCTACTAAGGACATGAACATGCCTCTTCCCAGTGTCAGAGCTGCTCTCTCCTTGCTCTCTCTCATTTCACTCCCAACTTTCCCTCCCTCTTGAATGCTCCTTTCTTTTGTTTCTGTCAAATTTCATTATATATTACTTTCTTTGGAGCAGCCTTCCTCCTCTATTCCCTGGACACAGCTACCACAATTCTGCTTGCCTTCTCATCTTCTAGCTTAGCAAGACTGTTTCTCAATTGTATTTTTCCTTTGACAGCTGGTCCTTTCTTCTACTTGCATCCTCCGGTCACACTTTTTCATGGATCACAGAGGTAACTGTCTCTTGGACTGTCTTACATCCAAGGTAGTAGGAACCACATGTGGATGCTGGGCATGCTGCACCTCCTGTATCAGACTTCTTTATTGCCTGTGCTATGCTATACTTTGCATTTCTCCACTGCTGCCATATGCCTAATACTAAAAAAAAGGTGAGGGGAGAAAGAAAACAAATCACAAGCAAAAACAACTATCTGCAAGTTCTGCCCAATCAAACTGCCCCCCGAACGTGAGCACAAGTGCCTGTTTGTTGCCCCGTTCACTGCTTCCACCACTGTTGATTTACATCAGCACAGCGGTGGTGTGCCTGCAGCAGTAGAGCAGGAAGGCAACACCAACGCAGCAGCAAGCTCCAACACAGAAGCAGTAACAGAGGACAGCAGCTCCTTCAACTGGTGCAATTGCCTCCAGGAGAGAACACTCAGCAGCGTGCTCTGCTTCCTCCTGGGAGTAAACACTGCTTGTTCCCTATGGGCTGTTCTCAAGCTTTGCGCGTCATCCTCAAGATGATTTACACTGGCTTGGACACGTGACAAGCGATTTCAAACAAGAGTGATGACACTACCTATGAGTAACGATGTCACATCAACTCCTGTACATGGCTGAACTGAGCATCTACCAAATGCTTGTTTGGTGCCCAGTGCAATTCCCACTTCAGCAGAGCGACAGAGCATTAATAGCATTCTGGCATTCTCTAGTAGCAACATCTGCCTTTATGACTTGGGGTTCACTCTAAATATCTGTAGGTGTAGCTTAAGTCCCAAGTTACTTCTTTTTACATCTTCCTCTAGGAAACTGTGCCTATGCTCCATGTCAACAAATTGCTTCTCTATTTTTCAGAGAAAATACTTCCTTTCTAAATATCACCTCTACTCGGTTTTCCATGCCCATGTTTTTTCCGTGAATCTGCAGCTTAAAACGTTCTTGGTTCCCTCTATGTAAACAGACAGCTTGTGTGCAATACAACTAAGGCACAGCAGGAGAGACAAGTGAGAACTGGGGAAAACTGTAGAGCATGGATGGACATTAAAGAAATACTAAAAGTTCTTTAAGAATTGGTAGCATCTTTTATGCAGTTTAAGCTACGTCATTAATGTACCGAAGAAATACTTAAATCAGGAAAAAAAAAATTGCCGTAACTAGTTAATTTAACAGCAAAGTGCTAATTACCTTTCCCGAACAAACTCTGCCATTTCTTTCTGCATTTGTTTCCCTTTAAGTTGCTTTTGAAGAAGAATTTCAAATCCCGACACTGTATTGTTCCCTTGCGAATCCTTCTTATCGGCCTGGAAGGAAAAAGGAAGTTCAGCAAAAAGATATGGGGATCAAAAACACAGACATGCAGTTCCCAGCGGCAACTGCCCAAGCAGTCCGAGCAACAGGCAACAGTGGTGTTCGAAGAGCCCTCCTCTAATTAACAGCTGATGGACACAGCACCTCAACCCCTCTCAGAGCAATAGTCCAATACTTTCTCTTTCCCCCTACTCTTACTCCTTTTTGTAACTAAAAAATTAAGTTTTACAGTTATTTTTAGCTAGCATAAGACTATGTTGGGGCCAAAGCAGCAGCCTTGCCTTCCCTTCTGCCCATGGCCTTTCCTATCTGATAACACCCCTGGGCTGACTCCGGCAAGCATAAGCCCTGATGGCTCACCCTGCAAAGAGAAGGTATCCTGGAGCCAGCACAAGGGAACTGCCAGGAGAGAAGGGAGGACCCTGCTGCTCCTCCCAGGGGTAACACAGCCCTAAATGACCTACAGACTGTCAAGTTCAACCCTGACTTGCGCTCAGAAAAATACAGCCAGTCTGCACAGATCTGCTGTAAAGCAGGGTAAACCAGCAACCTGTTCAGAAAGTTACCGCCACAGATCCCACCTTTCACTGTTTGTTTCCTACACAGCCCTTTCCACCTTCTGCTCCACTGACTTCAGGGTTGCCACAAGGACCAACACAGTCTTCTCTCTGCTGTCTCTTTCCTCTCTCTGCTTTTCCCTATTTCAGAACTTCATTTCCCATTCTCCTCCAACAAACAGGCCCAGAGAACATTTCCCCAAGGACTACAGGTTTTGCTCCAATACCCTGGGTGCTGCTCATTTGCACAGAGAAAAATGCCAAGTTAATCAAAGCCTGAGACTTGCAGGATGCCATGCCATGCCAGGCACCAGGCAGCTGAGAGAACAGGAGTTGACTGAAGAAGGAGGGCGAGTCATGGGCAGACAATGGATAACAAGGCCGAACAAGAGGAAAGTCCTGGGAGCAGAGCTATGGGAGGATAAAAGTTTGCAGAACACAGGCAGCTTTTTAAATGGAGTTTCACTAAGTGCAAGATGTGACCAAACCCAAGGAGCCAAGCAGTGGCCAAGCCTATAGGAAAGAACCAAGCAGGGCAGCGACTTCTGTAAGACACATGCGAAAAATAAGCCAGTACACCATTCATGATTTATTGCTCATCGGGATCAGAAGACTGGAAGAAACTGCAGAAACCTTCATGGTTTGGTAACATGACCATTTGCAAGTATGTCAGTGTATTTTAGCAAGCTATTGCCATTAGTTCTCACACCAACATTGAGCACACGTGACAGGACCTGCTGCTGTGCCTCCAACAGCTACACTTTTTTGCAAAGGAAACTTTCTTTTTTTTAAATGGAATCGCTCCAATGACTGAGAACTGAAAACACATGTGAAATAAATAAAATCTTCATTGTCAAGGTAGTATTCACCCTGCCCCCCAAAAAACAGTTTTCCATGGAAGATTTTTTCTATCAGCTCCACACTTGAAGGACTACTGTATCATTTTAATCTGATTCAGGATCCTGAAAGCAGAGCTAAGCACAAGAGGGCACACAGAGAAACACAGCCACTGGAGACTTCCCCTGCTGAAGGCTGCATTAAAACTGCTCAATTTAAGAGCTACTAATGGGCTTGTCCTTCACAAAGCTCATCCTTTAAAAAAATAATTTATCATCTGCCCTCCAGAATATCTCGTGGGTGTGAGTTTTACAATTTAAAACAAAGTTTGTAACTATCTGCTTGTTTTAAACATGATACTGATGGCTTCACTGTGCATCCCTAGCTCTCGTGTTCTGGGAAATACTGACAAAATATTCCCTGTCACCCACCTCGCTATCACCCTCGTGCTGCACAGCCCTTCTGGCTGTGGTATTTTAAGACATGTAGCTTGCCCTGCATTCTCCCCATTTCTTGACCAAAACCATCTCCTGACAGCTGACATCCCCTTTCTGGACACTTTTCTGATTGTCCACTTCTGAGACCAGTTAGATGGTTTCCACGTGATCTCCAATGGCGTCCTTGGTCTCACTGGTGCTGTCCTAACACACTGCATTTCAGCACAGATTCTCCTCTGCCTTGGACCACAAATCAAGCTGTTTGTTCCACTTTTTTGGAAGCTGCAGAGCTGCAATATGGCATGTGGCTGGCTGCCTACTTACCCAGAAATAATCACAGTAGCTCCACTCCGAAGGTTTCAGCAACTGCTGCTCTGGCATTACGTCAGGGTGGGGGAAAGTCACACAGTTTATCTGTAAAAAAGGGCAAAAGAGAGTTAGAAGGTAATGAAATTCAGTTGTTGATGAGAAATATGCAAATAAAAGACTATATACATGCACTTCCAACCAGAAAATCCACAGTGAATACACGTCAGTGAAGAAAAATTGGTTGTTGCATGGAAATAGCAGCTAAGTATTCCCAGAAAGCTCCTCTGAGCAAGCAGGAGTGTCGGCTCAGAGAAAGATAAACCACCCATTTCACATGAGGAAAACCTGCTTGATTTGGAATGCGCCATACAGGGAGTTCTCCCAGACCCCTAACAAACTGTGGTAAAAATCCTGATGTGAAACACCCTGAGCACACGCTGAACACAAGAAATACCATGAGCAGCAGAGCACAGTGAGGGCACTGTCAACGTATCTCATCAGAAAATCTTGGCTATGTTAGTCTTTTCCAGGATTACAAAGAAAGATGTTATTTTTTCAGTGCACAGCCCTTCCACCTACCCTAGAGACCTTTTCAGGTGAAAGTGATGCTCCCTGAGAAAAAGAACAGGGGCTCTCTAAAGTCAGCTAGCCTTCAGCACGCAAAACCCACAGCAATTTGTGAGACAGGAATCATCACGCCATCATTAAACAAAGTTATAAAAAAGTACAAGTGCTCATTAAGTTATCACAGTACAAAATGTAGCCTGATAAAAAAACAGTAGAAGCGAAGAGTGTGATAGCTACTGCAGAATGTGCTGCAGAATAATCTGGATGTATCTAAGCTGTTCAGGGGAAGCATCAGCAAGAGTCAGAGCTCACTGCCTGCCTCACTCGCCTAAAATTTCTGTTGGGCAGGCACACTGAGAGCAGTGCCTTTCATCGCATGTGCAGGTCCACTGGTCCAACAAACAGAAATTGGGAACGGAAGACTCACACATGTAAGCGTATGGGCTTGAGAGTTTTTGGATCAGTTAATGTCCACAGGAAACCCCAAACCGAAGCTGTAGGCAGAGTTAGCACAGCTGCACAGGCAGATCTAAGGTAGTGCTTACACACAGTGAATCTGCCTTTGGGCTATTCAGAGAGTATTAAAAAGGACACGGCAACATGCTGCAAAGTGCTGACAGTGTAAACCCACCACGCTAGAGCAGCGCAGACAAAGCCTTTAGCTGACACAATGCTGTTCCTACAAACCCACACTGGCTCTGCTGCTGTCTGCCCAAGCTGAAGCTTCAGTAGCTGTCCCTGTATGTAATGCAAGAGCTTCCTCCACAAAAATCACTTTGTCCAGAGCTTGCCAAGTCCATTTCAAAGCAGGCTGAGGAGTCTGCTGAGGCTACGGTGTCTTTGTCTGTCATCTCAGCTAGATCCTAAACCATGTGTCTTCCCTTCCAGCTTCCTTCCAGCTCCCACTGGGCTTCAATCTGATCTGAAAGAGGTCGGAGACCAGAGCTATCACTTCATCACTTTGTAGGTAGTGGTGAGCCTGCATCTCCAGCCAGATCCAGCCTCCACCAGCCACACAGTCCCAACAACAGATGACAGCAGCTGCTGAAAACACCTCCCCGTTCCTTCATGTTCCCCATCAGAAGTGCCACGCATCAGGAAGTATAAAACATCAGCTCAGGTCAGAGCAGGATGGCTGCACAACAAAGGTGCTGGTGCTCAACTGTCAACACCAAAGCCTCCAGCACAAAGCTCTTCCATGAAGGACGTTTCACTGAGGACACCTTCTGTCTCTGCTAAAGTTTTCCTCTCCTGCCTCTTCCCTGTCAGCTCGGTTATCTCAGGACAGCACCACAAGCCCATCTTGACCTGTTTTTTTGGTTGAGTAGTTTGGGTTACCTTCCCTTCTTTGTTCAGGGAGAACCAGATCTAAAAGCCTTCAATCAAATCCCATCTGCTGGAAGCAGCCCAGCCACAGGCGAGGAGCTGGCACCTCTCTGGGCTCAGCCAGCACAAGCAGGGGTGTGCAGAGCTGCTCATGGGCACTGCAAAGCTCTGGCGTGACGGGCTGCCAGTCTGCGCTGGCTCAGCATCTTGTTAATTAACTCCTCTCACACAACCCAGGAAGCTTCACAACTGATCAGCCCAAATGTCTTAAAAATACCGGCTAGAAATCTTAAGCCAAATTGCTGCTTTCAGACAGTGTCCAACAGCACCAGTCTGGACCAGTGCTGGAGCAGTGCACAGGGGCAGACAGAGAAAAGGCTCCACTTTGCTTCACAGATCACCAAATCTCATGCCACTGCTGATCATGGCCTGTGCTGGTACCTGGGCATGCCTCTACGCTGTCACAGACACACACTATTTCCCAAATAACACAGTATAATAGAACAGTTTTGGTTGGAAGGGACCTTAAGCATCATCTAGTTCCAACCCTTCTGCCATGGACGGAGACACCTTCCACTAGACCAGGTTGCTCCAAGCCCCATCCAGCCTGGCCTTGAACACTTCCAGGGAGGCAGCAACCACAGCTTCTCTGGGCAGCCTGTGCCAGTGTCTCACCACCCTCACAGTACAAAATTTCTTCCTCATATCTAATCTAAATCTCCCCTCTTTCAGTTTAAAAACGTTACCCCTCATCCTATCACTACACACCCTGATAAGAGTCCCTCCCCACCTCTCCTGTAGGCTCCCTTCAGGTACTGGAAGGCTGCTATAAGATCTCCCTGGAGCCTTCTCTTCTCCAGGGTGGACAACCCCAACTCTCTCAGCCTGTCCTCGTAGG